TCACTGATCAGTGCTTTAGTTTTGCCGACGTTGAGAGAGAGGTTGTTCTTAAAAGTGGGGTTACATTAGCTACCTTCCAGTCCATTAGAACTCTTCTAGAGTCTACAGGATGCTGAAAAATGATTATCAATGCATCTGTTATTTTTAGGGCCACATCCTTAAGTACTCTTGGATGCAGAGCATCAGGCCCAGGGTACTTAGTGCGTTTTAATCCCATCAATTTCCCCAATACCATTTCCTGACTAGTAAGGTTTTTCTTCAGTTCCTCCTTCATTCAATGGTGTTACCATCACTGAAGCCCCACTATGAACTTCCTGGGGGTTACCATTGACAAGAAACTCAACTGGACTTGTTACATAAACATGGTCGCTACAAGAGCAGGTCAGAGGCTAGGAATACTCTGGTGAGTAACTCACCTCCTGTTCACCATCTACAAGGCACAAGTCAGGAATGTGATGGAATACTCTCCACTTGCCTGGATGGGTGCAGATCTAATAACACTCAAGCTTTACACAATCCAGGACAAAACAGACCATCCACCACCTTCAACATTCACTCCCTTCACCACATGTGCACAGTGTAAAAGATGCACAGTAGCAGCAATGTATACTCTCTAAAAGATGCACTATAGCAGCAGAGAAATGGGGACACCACTACCTGCAGGTTTCCCTCCAAGCCACTTGTGATCCTGACTTGGAAATATATCACCATTGCTTCAGGGTGACTGGGTCAGAATCCTAGAATTCTCTCCTTAACAACAGGGTGTTCTTACACCCTAAGAACTGCAGCGGTTCAAAAAGGCATTCAGCACCACCTTCTCAAGGGCATGGGTAATGATTAGAATAAATTCCAATGCAATCCCACATGTAGTTTCTGGAACTAATCTGGAATATCACAGACAGGGATGTTGGAGGTGCAGGCCTAGCTTGATAGGCTCTTTGTGCTCAACAGCACTGACTGTTCCACTGAAGTCAAGTTAGAATGAGAGAAAATTCTGGAAGATCAGCACAAGATGGAATCTTTTATGATTCTGGCCAATCATCAGAATCTGCCTGGAACTCAGAATATTGCGATGACGATCAAGAAGCTTGAGAAACTTGAAGCTTGGAGCTTGAGAAACACCAGGCAGGGCAGGACGATCTGCCTGGATTGAGGAGGGGTTTTTGGAATTACTCCCAGAAAGTAAAACTGAACATTAAGTCCAAATTCTGACATCACCCACTCCCAACTCATGACATTAATGAAAACCCAGCAGCTAATATGGTTTTATTTTGGGCTATTCCTTATTTATTTTCATTGTTTATTGGGATCTCAATTTTAAACTTGTTTTTAACACCATCGGTGGATTTTACAAGAATAATTCATTGCAGATTCCTGTCAAGGATTTTGTGCTTGATGTTGTGTCAAGAGCATTTCCAATACAAATATAAATTATGTAGTAGTGTGTACATTTGCCAGTGTACAGAGAGTCTATCTCCTCGCCTGGTTATATAGGAGCGCAGCTCACAGCATATAGGCCAGTACTCTGAATGCAACATGTCTACAGCTCCCAGTGTACATCCTGCACATTGTTGCCAGGAGCTCTTTGCGTTGACACCAGTCTGGGACCTGTCAGTGGGAGGTATCGGTCTGCTGCTGCTGAGTTCTCAGAGAATGAATGTCTTCTGCTGTTCACCTGGAGCAAGAGACTAAACCAAGAGAGAGTGAACTAACTCAGTTCTAACTAACTAACTAATTCTGACACTGAAGGAGAGACAATATATTTCCAGGTCAGGATGGTGAATGATAATTTATACTCAATAAAATGATGCTAGAAATGGTTAAAATATGGAAGCAGAGAATGGGAGCTAGCCAGGATCTTAGGCTGAACTTTAACAGAATAAATAACAATCTGTGAGCTACAAGCCAGCATGAGCGACACATCACGAGATCAAACCGTAGGTAAACAACTCCCAACAACTAGGTCACCAGATGCCCGCTGTTAACTTCCATGGCTAAAGAAAGGCTGGAACTATTAATACTAACTCCAGAAAGAGTCAAAGGCAGATGCCACTTCTCCTGTCTGGCAGTTATGTCAGCAGGGAGCTTGTCTGAGCTGCAGGTTAGCAGATTGTGTGCACAATGTGGGGGGTTATTGGAAGAAGCAAGGTCAAACAACACTTCTTGCTGCAGCTTACTCTGTCACTAATGACAAACTGAACTTAAATATCATGTCAATCTCGCCTACCCAATGTCAAAATAAGAATTAGGGCATGCTGCAATGTCAGAAGGGCTATCTTTCAGTTAAACTGATGACTTGCTCTCCTGAGCAGGATTGTAGGGATCTCACAGCATCTGATTTTCAACCAATAAAGTGTCAATTATCTGGCCATTATCCCATGAAGGTTTCAGTAATTTGAGAGGGAAAGGAACAGAAAGATTATATGTAATCGATGGGAAGGCAATGATCCAGTGGTGTTACTGCGAGACTATTAACCCAGAAACTCAGCCAATGTTCTGGGGGACCTGGGTTAAAATCCTGCCATGGCAAATAATGAAATTTGAATTTGATGATGGATCTGGAATTAACAGTCTAATGACGACCATGAAACCATTGTTAATTGTCAGGAAAAAACAACATCTGATTCACTGATGTCCTTCAGGGAAGGAAATCTGTCATCCTTACTTTGTCACATCTGCATGTGACTCCAGACCTACAACAGTTGACTTTGCAAGGTCTCTGGGAAATAAATGTTAGCCTAGTCAGAAATACCTATATCCTGTGAGTGAATTAAAAAAAGATCAAATGGGTGGGAGAAGGCCCATGAGGAGCAAAAGTATTGGTTGAATGGCTTCTTTCAGTAAATTCTCTATAACTGCATTTTGTGGAATCTTGCTGCATACAATATGGCTGTTTTGTTTGTCCATCAGTTTGTTCATCTAATTGGAACCATAACTCAAGTAAAAGCTAAAGAACTGTATGTTTCAAATTCCCTTTCTTCAAAGCTATTGTGTATTGCAGACCCCAACCCCATTGTCCCTAACCCTGACCCAGTCCCTGTCACTCTGTCTCTGTCTCTGTCACTGTCACTCACTCATCCCCATTGTCCCTAACCCTGACCCAGTCCCTGTCACTCTGTCTCTGTCACTGTCACTCACTCATCCCCATTGTCCCTAACCCTGACCCAGTCCCGGTCACTCTGTCTCTGTCTCTGTCTCTGTCTCTGTCACTCATCCCCATTGTCCCTAACCCTGACCCAGTCCCTGTCACTCTGTCTCTGTCACTCATCCCCATTGTCCCTAACCCTGACCCAGTCCCTGTCACTCTGTCTCTGTCTCTGTCACTCATCCCCATTGTCCCTAACGCTGACCCAGTCCCTGTTGCCAGAATCTAATTTTCTGCTCTGAGCAACAGTCCTCGTCTTGCTGTTCAGACTGAGTAAGATCAGCTGATTATTGACACACTGCACTGTCAGATCAGTCTTCTTGGCATCACCTGTCCCTCACACATACTGATCTATTTTTTATTCATTCATGGGATGTAAGTGTCACCAGTATTTATTACCCATCCCTAATTGCCCAGAGGGCAGGTAAGAGTCAACCACATTGCTGTGGGTTTGGAGTCACATGTAGGCCAGACCAGGTAAGGATGACAGTTTTCCTTCCCTGAAAGACATCAGTGAACCAGATGAGTTTTTCCATTAATTGGCAATGATTCATGGTCATCATTCGACTCTTAATTCCAGATTTTTATTGAACTCGAATTCCACCATATGCCATGGCGGGATTTGAACCTGGGTCCCCAGAACATTACCTAGGTCTCTGGATTAACAAGTCCAGTGATAATACGACTGAGCCCTCACCTCCCATGCACAATACAATTTGTTGCTGACTACAATAGTGTAATGGGTGTTTTTTTTTTCATTCATGGGATGGTGGTGTCATTGGCTAGGCCAGCATTTATCGACCATCCCACAAGGCAATTAAAAGTCAACCACATTGCTGTGGGTCTGGAGTCACGTGTAGGCCAGACCAGGTAAGGATGGCAGTTTCCCTCCCTAAAGGACATTAGTGATCCAGATGGGTTTTTCCTGACAATGGCATGGTCATCAATAGACTCTTAATTCCAGATATTTATTGAATTCAGTTCCACCATCTGGATTCAAACCTGGGTCCCCAAAATATTACCTGTGTCTCTGGATAAACAATCCAGTGATAATACCACTTGGCAATCATCTGCCTTTTCAGGGAGCACTTCACATCATGGAAATCCCATAAAAAGGTGCTTGGGGTCAGTTGAAAAATTCAAAATTGAGCTTCATTGATTTCTAGCATATCAAAATAGTAAGAGAAGGAGGCTATTCAGCCATTCAGTCCACTTTCACTCTCTCAAAAAGCAATCCAGTTGGACCCACTCTCCAGAGTCAAGGAGAGTAGATGGAGTGACAATTAAAGGCTGAATTGCCTAACCCTTTTGCCATGTTCCTTGCCCCTCCTGCATCATCAATTTTATGTGTTCCCTTCTATCTTCAGTCTATTGCTCCTATTTCTATCTCTCTGCTCTGTAGTATGTCAGAAATTGTCTTTATGTGAAGGCTGCTGATAGGAATGAACCTTGCTGTATTTTGCAGGTCAATATGCGATATTGTGACTAACTGCTCTGTCGCACCATATCATTACTGATAAACACAGAACGTCAAACTAATATCTGGCTCAGAGACAGCAGCTGCAGCCAAACAGGGGGGAGATAGCATCTGTTTCAGTCTATTTCTGCTTTCGACACTGTTAGTTACAGCCTGTCTTTGCCCATGGAAGTTAGCAGGAGGCACTTTCTTGATTACATTGGCATTTTTGACCAAGTTAGTGATGCCAATTACCTGCAGACTGGTCCCAGCAATTGGTATAAGACGTCATTCAGACTGAGTGTTTATTACAGAGGAGTGGGGGCTCACAACATTCTTCATCCCTGTCCCTTTGCTAAATACAACGGAAGAAGATATTCTTCACATTGTTCCATGCTGATGGCAGTATTGAGAAAGCTGTCCTGTCTCATGTTGGTTTGCCTGACACTGACACACATAGCAAAGTCCAAAGCAGCCAGTGTTAATGAAATCCTTTCTAAGGGTGATTCTGACTATGTGCTGTCAGATTACCGAGGGAAAGGTTGCATTGATGACAATGGATTTGTGTTCGACGTGGGCGAGAGGTTTTACCCCACTGCAACTGCTTGCCCCTGCGTCTGCACTGAAACTGGTCCAGTGTGCCGTAAGCCTCAGTGCCCTCGAATCTCCTCCCGGTGCATCCGTGTCAGTTACCATTCCTGCTGCCCACGCTGCTTGGAATTCCGCAACTCGTGTCAATACGGAGGCAAAATGTACCAACTATTCCAGGAATTCTGGGTAACAACAGATTATTTCATTCTGTTTTGGTTTGAAACACCTCATGTGGTTTTATTGAAGGGAAACAGTCAGTGTGATTTTTACTCGTACTGTTTTTGTACAATCGTAAGTTTCCCTAAAATCAGGAGATTTACAAAGATTCATTAGGGGGAGATACTGAGAAACTATTTCCTCCAGGGAGGAGCCATAGTTGTAAGAGAAGACTAGTTCATTCAGGGATGATACCAGGAAGCATATTTCTTGACCAAAATACATAGCATGGAGAACTGAAAACTGGGATTACCCTCCTTAAACAGAAGGATTGAACAGATTAGATTGCAAGTGTTCAAAATCCAGAGAGGTTTATACTGATTAGATGGAAAGAAACTTCCCATTGGCAGAAGGGTTGAGAATCAGAGGACACCAATTTAGCAAAAGAACAAAAAGCAAAATGAAGAAAAACCTTTTAATGCAGAGAGTGGTTTAGATTTGTGATGCACAGCTTGTTGAAGGTAGCTTAATTGAGGCTTTCAACAGAGAATTGGAGAAGCAGTTAAGGAGAAGAAACACAGGGATTAATGGAAAGGGCAGAGGAGTGGAACTTGCTATTGTAGATCGTCTACATGAATACAACATGCTGCAAGACTTCTCTTTGAGCTGTAGTGTTCTATGATTCTATTCGATAATCACTGTCCCTCAAAAGTCTGTGGATTCTGAGGAGACAAGTGACACATTTGAGACTGAGATCAGTAAATTCTTGGCTAGGTAGGAGAATCAATGTCAGGAAAATGAGGGAACAGGCACTGATCAGTCGGGATCTAATAGAACAGTGCCTCAAAAGGTGATCAGGTGTGTAGATGAGGTCGGGCAGTTGATGTAGTTTATATGGGAATCAGCAAAGCCTTTGACAAAGAAGGTAAAATCACATAGGATCCAGGATAACTTGGCAAGATGGATCCCAAATTGGCTCAGTGACAGGAGACAGAGAGCAGTGGTAGAAGGCTGTTTGTCAGACTGGAGAATAGTATCCAGTGGCATACCATAGGGATCAGCACTGGTCCATTATCATTTATGATGTAGATGAGAATGTGTGCCTGTGTGTGTGTGTGGGTGTGCGTGAGGTAGGGTGGGGGGGGGGGGGGGGGGGGGGGGCACGGTGTTTGTTTAGAATTTTTGTGGAGGACAAGAATTTTGTCCAGATAATTGACAGTGAGGAAGAAGGTCTTAGGTTACATAAGTCTATAAATGGATTGGTCAGAGGTGCATATCAGGGGCAGATGGAATTTAATCCTGACAAGTGTGAGGTGATACACTTTGGGAGAAATAGCAAGACAAGGAGTACTCAATGAATGACCAGACATTAGGAAGCTCAGAGGAACAGGGGAATCTTGGGGTGCTTGTCTATCTTGGAGTGCTTGTCTATAGACTCCTGAAGTGGGTATGGCATGTTAATAGGGTGGTTGAGAAGGAATATGGGACACTTGACTTTATCAATTGTGGCATAGATTATAAGACCAAGGAGGTTATCTTGGAGCTATACAGTACTTTAGTGAGCCTACAGCTGGAGTACTGTGTGCATTTCTGGTTTCCACACTATAGTAAGGATGAGATTGAACTGGAGCGGGTGCAGAAGAGATTCACCAGGATGTTGCCTGGGATGGAACATATCAGCTATAAAGATAAACTCGGTTTGTTATATTTGGAGCAGAGAAAGCTGAGAGGGGACCTGATTGAGATGAATAAGATTATGAGGTACATGGCCAGGATAGATAGAAAGCAGCTGTTCCCCTTGGTTGAAGCATCAATAACAAGGGGCATAATTTTAAGATGAAAGGCAGGAGGTTTAGAAGGAATTTGTGGAAATGTTTTTACACCCAGAGGATGGCGGGAATCTGTAATGCAATGCCTGGGACGGTAGTTGAGGCTGGAAACCTCACCTCCTTTAAAAAGTACTTGAATGAGCACTTGAAATGTCATAACATTCAAGGCTATGGGCCAGGTGCTGAAAAGTGGGACTGATGTATATTTACAGCAGTTTCTGTCTTGCTTGATGGGTCAAAGGGCCTCTTCTGTACTGTATGATTCTATGTAAATGCTAAATTGCCTGCTATAATAAAAACAAAGCAGTCCAGATGCTGGAAATCTTAAAAAACAGAAATTGCTAGAGAAGCTGAGCTGGTCTGGCAGTATGTTTGGAGAGAAAGCAGAGTTAACTCTTCATGTCCAGTAACCTTCTCCAGAATCAGTTTGTTAATTCTGCTTTCTCTCCACAGATGCTGCCAGATCTGCTGAGTTTCTCTAGCATTTTGTGTTTTTGTTCTCAGTTGCCTACTCTTGTTCTCAAATGTTCTGAGGGTACAGTTTTCTCTTGCATTTTTTAAAAATGATGCTTACAAACACATGCATGCTAACATTCATAGAACATAGAACATAGAACATTACAGCGCAGTACAGGCCCTTCGGCCCTCGATGTTGCGCCGACCTGTGAAACCAATCTGAAGCCCATCTAACCTAAACTATTCCATTATCATACATATGTTTATCCAATGACCATTTAAATGCCCTTAAAGTGGGCGAGTCTACTATTTTTGCAGGCAGGGCATTCCACGCCCTTACTACTCTCTGAGTAAAGAACCTACCTCTGACATCTGTCCTATATCTATCACCCCTCAATTTAAAGCTATGTCCCCTCGTGCTAGCCATCACCATCCGAGGAAAAAGGCTCCCACTGTCCACCCTATCTAATTCAAACATTTAAAGTGACTGATCTGTCCCCTAATTTAACAAAAGGGGTGATAGTGTCTGGATAGTGGTGAAGAATGATGTGCAACAAGCAGAGTGAGAAAATAAATTGGCGGACAGTTGACTTCAATGGGACAAGAATAGAACAAGGTAGGATTGACTGCAACAGGAGTTCAGATGAAGGGTCTAGGCCCGAAACGTCAGCCTTTCTGCTCCTATGATGCTGCTTGGCCTGCTGTGTTCATCCAGCTCTGCACCTTGTTGTCTCACATTCTGTGAGCCTTGGTCATTACCACCCACTGTGCAAAGGATTCCCGCTCAGCTTGGTGGTCACAGAAATACCGATCAGGGGTTGGGACATTTTCTGATGAAGGGTCTAGGCCCGAAACGTCAGCCTTTCTGCTCCTAAGATGCTGCTTGGCCTGCTGTGTTCATCCAGCTCTGCACCTTGTTGTCTCGGATTCTCCAGCATCTGCAGTTCCTACTACTCCACCTTCAAAGAGGAAATGGTTCAGGTACAGTCAAGGTATATTCCCTCTCATGGGAAAGGGAAAACAAACAAATCCAGAATTCCCTGGATGACAAAGGAGGGAGAAATTAACATTGGAAAGAAAAAGTATGTTTGTGACAGGTTTGAGGCAGAAAATACTTTTGAGAACCAGGAGGAATACAGGAGGTTTAAAGGGGATGTATAAAAGCAAATAAGAGAAGCAAAGTGGAATTATGAGAAAAGACTAGTGGCTAAAATAAAGGGGAATCCATAGGCATTTAAATAATAAAAGAATGGTTAAAGGAGGAGCAGAGTAAATTAAAGACCAAAAAGGGGATTGACATATGGAGATGGCGAGCATGGCTGAGGTGTTAAATGAATACTTTGCATCTGTCTTTATAAAAGGGGAGACACCCAGGTCATTGTGACAGTGAAGGAAACTCTGTCACTAGAAGAATTCAAAATTAATAAGGAAGAAGTCTAGATGGATTATTTGTACTTAAAGTTGACAAGACACCGGGTCCAGATGATATGCAGCCAAGGATTTTGAAGGAAGAATAGAAATTGTAGGGGCACTGGTTTTCCCTGGACTTAGGGGAGGTGATAGAAGACTGGAGAATTGCAAATATTATAGCCTTGTTCAAGAAAGGTTGTAAAGATAATCCCAGCAATTATAAACCAGTTAGTTTAACTGTGGTGCTGGGGAAGCTTCTGATAATGATTATTCGGGATTGAATTACTATTTACCTGGTAAAAGGTGGGTTGATTAAGAAGAGTCAGCATGGATTTCTAAAGTGGAAATTGTGTTTAACTAACATGCTGGAGTTTTTTTTGAAGAGGCAACTGAAAAGTCAATGAGGGTGACTCTGTTAACACGGATTTTCATAAGGTGTTTGATACAGTGCCACATAACAGAAGAAAGTTGTAGATCATAGCATGAAATGGACTGTACCAATGAGGATACAAAATTGGCTTTGTGATAGGAAACAGAGTAATGGTCAATGGCCATTTTCAGGCTGGAGGGAGGTTTGTGGTCAGTATTGGGATCCTTTTCCTGATATATATTAGTGGTCTAGCTCTTGCTGTGCAGGGACAATTTAAGTTTGCAGATGACACAAAACTTAGAAGAATTGTAAACTGTGAGGAGGACAGAGTGTGGAACTCCAAAAGAACATTGACAAGTTGGTGAGTGAGTGGATAGGTGGCAGGTGAGGTTCAAAGCTGAGAACTGTGAGTTAATGCACTTTGGTGTGAAGAATATTGAACAACGATGCAAAATAGGGGGTACAATTCTAAAGAGGGTGCAGGAGCAGAGGGACCTAAGTGCATATGGGCATAGATCAGTGAAAGTGACAGGGCAACTGGAGAGAACTATTAATAAAACAAAATGTTCTCAGCTTTATTACGAGGGGCATACAGTACAAGAGCAAAGTGATGTTGAACTTGTAGAAGACACCTGTTAGACCTCAGCTGGAGTTGTGGGCACCACATTATAGGAAAAATGTGAATTCATTGGAGACAGTGCAGAAGTGATTTACAAGAATAGTTTCAAGAAATGACAAACTTCAGTGATGAGGAGAGATTGAAGAACTTGACACTTCTGCTTGAAGGGAAAGTGACTGAGAAGGCATTTGATAGAGGTTTCCATAATTGGTTGAACAGAGTAGAAAGGGAGAAACTCTTCCTGATCGTAAAAGGCACAAAAATGAAAGGGCATAGATTTAATGACTTGCAAAAGAAGCAAGTATGGAGAATAGGCAGGTGACTGGCACTAGGTAATGATGTTCTTTCGAACAGCTGAGTCAGGCATGATTGGCTGAATGGCCTCCTTCTGTGCTGTATCACATCTGTGGGCCAAAAGGTCTGGGTTCAAGACCCACTGCCCCATGTGTCATAACATTTCCAAACAGGATTAAAGGAATTTAAAAGTACTGCACACTTAGTCAAGTTAACCATCGAAACATCACCATCTGCTGGCTTTAAACAGACACTACATGAAAGTGGCAATGTTCTCTCCACTGAGACACTACATTAAAGTGGCAATGTTCTCTCCACTGAGACACTACATGAAAGTGGCAATGTTCTCTCCACTGCTGCCCATGTCTGCAGATTAACAGGTGCCTTTATTTCCGTTGCTGCACAATTTAAAAATCATTGTATTCAGTAAATTTATTCCAGGTTAATGTGTTAATCAATTATTTCTGCCTAATTGTGAGCTACATCCTGGCAGGTGCTGCGTCTAGCACCTCCTTCTGCTGATTTCTTTGTAAACATTGATATTCTGCAAACCAATGTCCCAAATCCCCATTGCTTAAACAAAATTAGTTTCCAGGATATATTTGTTCCTGCTGACCCACAAATCCTGTCAGCGTTTTAATGGTTGCTGTTGAAATTATTTGTCAAAATGTTTTGTTTTAATAAATCACTGATTTCTGATGTATAACATTGTTTTGTAGCCATCTGCCTGTGAAAGGTGTCGATGTGAAGCTAACCGAGAAGTGTACTGTCTGACTGCAGAGTGTGCTCCTGTCCATTGCGTTAACCCATCGTATGAACCCAATCAGTGCTGTTCTGTGTGCAAACAGGGTAAGTCTCACTTACAATATGAATGTAGAATCAAAAGCACTTTAGGTTGGAAGGAATTGACTATCCCAACACTCTCCTCCTGGTCACCCATCCCCCATAAATCAGAGTTTTTCCAAAGATTTGCTGCTGTATTGTTACCCACATTAAGTGCTATGCTCGCTTGGCACACCAGGCTTGATTTGGAGTTGTGAGGATTTACACTGTTAGCTAACAATACACCCACAGTGAAGACAAAATTCAGACTGTCCTGCAGCCTGCAACTTATTGGTTTGACTCCATTATCTGTGGCACCGGCAAATCAGTTCTTAAAGGAGATAGTTGTTTCCTGGAAACTCCGTGTACATTGCATTATTGCCGTGTGGGTAACACAGGCTCCCAGTACATGACTAATGGCAACATCAGAAAAAATTATCAGATTTGCCAAGGCTGTTAAAGCATGCACAGCAACGATACTATCAAGTGATGCTGTCAGTCGTGTGGGGTCAATGCAAACAATGTTGTAGTTGGGAGAGAGGCCCCTGTATAATGACCTCACCTTGCAGCTGACTCAGGAGGTTTGTTCCTTGCTAAATGGTGCAGCTAAAAAGCCACTTAATTAGCATCCATATATTCACTCGCAACTGAACTGAGTACCCTGTGGCGGAGAGTACAAATGTGCAAGGTCAATGCACTAATATTGGGCGATGGTATCAAGGAATATGAAGCAAAGACCAGTCAATTGAGTTGAAGCCTTAATCAGCTATGATGTAGATGTCACAGGATAAACAAAACTTCTTTCAAATTGACCTTTGGTTTGTATTTATGAAGTTTGTTAAATGGTCATTTACGAAGCTGCCTTTCCTGGACCTGCCATTGTAACACTTTGATTCTTGCAGGACCGAACTGTTTTGCAGGAAATACCATTATCCCTGCTGGTGTGAAAGTGGAAATGGATGGAAAGTCTGTCTGTTTCTGTCCATATAAGGATGGCTCCTGGGAACCTCAACAGCAAGCAATTTGTAACTCCCGTGGAAGAAGGCTGGGTCATCATCATAGTGTAAAGGAACGACACCACTGGGAATGGATACAGCAGCGATAGGCTCACTGCTGCAATACTGTGGACCAGCTAATGTTTCCCAGATTGTGTTTTACAATGACAAAGAGGATCTTAACCATCTGGCTACTAACATTGATTTGGAGAGAGCTGGACAATTGTCAGGTGTCAACGGTAAAGCAAGTCTTGTTAGAATGGAGAGTTGGGGTTGGGACATTCCTGATCCTCTTGGCTACACAGAAATAATCTGAGGGTTACTAGTCTAAGGCCTCTTCCTCTTGATCTCCACTTTAATGAGTGGAGCCTTTTGGTTGCACTGACCCTCAGAGCTCTGTTGGATTCTTCAAAAGTCAAATTGGTGAGGCAAGGTCTAGGGAACTAGCAGAAAGCCTGAGTTTAAGTGGTGCGGTCAATAAATGTGAAGTTGGAAAAGCACAGCAGGTCAGACAGCATCCAAGGAGCAGGGAAGTCAACATTTTGGGCCGAAACCCTTCGTTCGGGTCCTGATGAAGGGTTTCAGCCCGAAATGTTGATTTCCCTGCTCCTTGGACGCTGTCTGACCTGCTGTGCTTTTCCTTCCACATTTATTGACTCTAGCTTCCAGCATCCTTCTTGCTCCTGCAGTCCGTACTGTCTCTGAGTTTAAGAGGTGCAGGAGCAAGAAGTGGATAGATCAACCAGTTGAATTTTAACTCTGTTACCACGCAGTTTATGCTGGGCAGAGAGAATTAAAATCTGCCCTTCCTCTCCAAGTGTCAATACTGGATTAGTGCTTTGTACTATAGTCCTGTTCCAGCAATATGAGAAATCAGCGCAATATACCTTTGCTCTTAACTTCCAGTGAAACACGACAGCTTTCTCAACTGATGTGGAAGACTCTCCACACTGTATCTCCATGTCTGTTTGCAAGGGGTCTGACATTTATTGTAAAAATATAAATAAAAGTTGTTTGATGGTACATCTTGTTGCACTCTGTGCCTGTGTTTACATTGACGTAAAACTGTAAATCATGATAAAACATTGACAAAAGTTTAGCTTGCACCATATTCATGGCCTTGTCTGCTTAGTGAGCTTATAGAAACACACATGCAGTCACTGTAACCAGTAACATTTCTGTGCGAATTGTTTTTAAAAAACTGATGATTGATTGTTCTGTGGTAATAAAATAATCACTGACATATATTGCTGGTCTTTTGTTTCCCAGTTAAACAACTGATTGATAAATGCAAACTGAAAGAAGCTGGTGCTTGATTTTAGTTGCATTTTTAAAGAAGCTTTAACACTTCTAATAATTTATCGATAGTTCAATAATCTAGATTGTTTGATTATACACAACAATGGGTAACATAGCTTTGCACTAATAGCACATTAATGTTGAATATTAGCGCCATCAGCAGACTGAGATTTGTGCAATATTTAACGATTACCATCAAGTGATAGATAATATCAATTGAATTAGGACAGCAGAAGCAGTTACAAATCCTCACAAAGCTAGATCTTACAGCAATTGCTCCCAATAGAGATTTCACAAATGTAGTTTATGTATACAGATAGATCTTTGTAAAACAATAACGTAATCTGACTAATAATATAAGTGGTTGACTCGTGCTTAGCTGGTGAAATTGTTTTTGTTTTTGTTTAGAGAGCAACACTAATTGTTGAGATGAATATAATATGTCAAAAGATGGCTCTAGTTAGCAGGCAGTTGCTCCATAGTAATTAATCTTGACACTGGTGCAGGGTCTACAGAACACATCATTGTTGGGATTGTACATTCCGTGATCACAAACCACTGCAGGAGTAAATATGGAAACACTGTTAGGATAGAAATATGGCAACTAGAAACAGAAGCAGAGCAAATTCTCAGACATCCTCATATACAGCATCGAACATGCGCATAAAAGTGAGATGACAGATACCAACATCACCAACCTGAATTTTTTTTCACTTTTAAGTCATGCTATTAGTACAATGTCTATATAGATTACCAGTAACAAATGAGCTTGTAGTTCCCACAGCATACAAATAGAAACTCAAATGCCAGAAGCTTTTCATTCATGGGATGAGTGTAGCTAGCTGGGTTAGCATTTATTACCCTTGAGAAGAAGGTGGTGGTGAGCTGTCAACTTGACTGCTGCATTCCATTTGGTGTTGGTACACCCACAGTACTGTTAGGGAGAGAGGTCCAGGATTTTTACCCACCAACGTAGAAAGAACGGTGATTAATTCCCAAGTCAAGATGGTGAGTGATTTGGAGGTGAACTTGCAGTGGGTGGTATTCCCAGGTATCTGCTGCTCTTGTTGTTCTTGATGGAAGTGGTTATGAGTTTGGAATGAGCACTTTGTGGAGCCTTGGTGATTTTCTGCAGTGTATCTTGTAGATAGTACCACTGATGACTGTGTCAGGCTGTTGTTTGACTAGTCTGAGACAGCTCTCCCAGGTTTTGTACTAGTCCCAATATTGGTAAGGAGGGTTTTGCTGGCTTAACTGGGTTGAGTTCGGGTTTGTCATTGTTTTTTCCACTGTTGAGCTCGATGCCTGGTGGTCTGTCTAGTTTCACTCTGTTTTTGAGAATACTTTTGTGATTGGTACATCTCAATGCCTTGTTTGGCCTTTCCAGAGGGCAGTTAAGAGTCAATCACATTGCTGTGGTTCTAGAGTCATGAGTAGTCCAGATTACGTCAGGACAGCACATTTCCTTTCTGGAGGACCATCAGTGAACCAGACAGGTTTCTTTTTATGACAATCAACAATGTCTTTTAATTCTATATTTTGCTGAATTCAAATTCCACCATCTTCCTTGGTCAGGTTCAAACCTTGGTCCTGAGAACATTACCTGGGACCCTAGATTACTGGTCTGGCAACAATATGACTAACCATTGCCTCCCCTATGACTCTCCCTCACAATCCCCCTCCTCCCACAAGCTGCTTGATAGTACAGTTGATAACCTCTTCTATCACTTTCCTGATGATCCTGATGTGCATAGAGAACACCTAGTGAAGGGGTTCAGGGATCAGTTGAGGCAAGGTACACAGCAAGAACTGGGAATCTAAGACAAAGAACAAATGTTCTGGGGCACTGGTGGGATGCAGAAAGAGGTACACACGTACTGAAGTAGAAGGGGACAGACAGATCTTCCTGAATGGGGTAGGTTGAACAACTAACAAAGGGGTAAGGAACAGTGAGAAATATTCTGAAGGCCATGACACAGAGAGACAGATTCATCTTGAAAGAACACAAAATGTCCTAACGTGAATAATGACAAGTACTGACAAATACCTTCAAAGGGTGGGAACAGGGGACAACTAACCCAATTAGGATGGAAAAGTGAGTTAAAGTTACTGAAGGGTCAGAGATGCTGATGGTTAGGTTGCAACAAAAAGTGAGCAAGAAGGTTTTATGGCCCCTTTATGCAATGCCAACACTTCTGAGACAGGATCTTTATCAAATTTTGACTGCTTTCAGTAGTGAAACACTATTGATAAAAAATTGCCTAGTGTATATTGATAATGGATCCCTGATCATAAATTAGTTTCACACCAGGAGTTGCACTGTATATTTGCTATTCTGCCCATTGTACTTTGCTAGAGATTGTTCAGGAACCCCATTCCTCTGCAGATTTGCCAGTTATTGCTGTGGTATGGGAGAAGCTCAAGGAAATACTCACAGATATTCATTAGATAATTGACTAATTTTGTTATTAATTCACAGGCTGTGGGTGTTGCTGGCTAGGCCAGCATTTATTGCCTGTCTGTAGTTGCCCAGAGAGCAGTTAGGAGTGAACCACATTACTGTGGGTTTGGAGTCACATGTAGACCAAGTTAGGTAAGTATGGCAGCTTCCTTCCTTAAAGGACATGAATGAACTAATTAGGTTTTCATGATCATCGCCGTACTTCAGATTTTATTAAATTAAATTCAAATTCCACCATCTGCCATGGTAGGACTGTGAACCTGGATCTCCAGATTATTAATCAATGGACTAGTGACAGTCCTGGAGAAGGGTCCCAACCTGAAACATCAACATTCCTGTTCCTCTGATGCTGCTTGACCTGCTGTGTTCCTCCAGTTCCACACTGTATCGACTCTGACTCCAGCATCTACAGTTCTTGCTATCTCCAGATTAGTAGTCTAGTGATAATACCATTAGCCATTGCTTCCCAATGCAATTTGTAATTCACAACTTTGTGTATTAAGTTTTTTGTTGTGCAAATGGCTTTGGATAGAAGGGTGACAAATGCAACTTAATGCAGAGAAATGGGAATAGTATTCAAGAAAAGAGAATGAGAAGGACAGAACCTAAATGTTTAACTGTGCAGAGCTTCTCATAATGTGTTAAAGGTTTATATATACCTATTTCCTATGTTTACAAGAATGTCACTACATCCTTTTTCTGTTACACCTGATATTAGATTGTAGTTGTTGAGACCTACATTTCCGATATTATTCCTTACTTTCTGTAGTCCCCTGGGGTATGTACTGTTATGGTATATCTCTGGGACAGGTGGGATACACAGACAGCCTTTTCCTATCTGTCATTTTTGTACATTGCCCCTTTCTGTTGCTATCTATTCCAGGTGCAATTATTGTCAATTTCTCAATTTTGGTCTAAGCCCTTCTGAATCTGTGCCCCACATATATCAATGCAAAATGTGACCATAGGCCACCAATTATATCTCAAAGACCATAACCTGCCCTGGTCAGATCGCCAAATCTCTACCTCAACCAACCTCTCTACCTGTCCCCTTCCAGCAACAAAAGGAAAGAACAGAGAAAAAGGGAGTGAGAACGTAACTAAAAAAAAGCAGCACAAAGTCCTGAAAGGCATAAACAAGATTATATTTTAATTTACTGCCAGCAATATTCACCATGGATTTTTAAAGGCAGGATTGTAGGCAAAAGCATAAAGGTATAATTGAGCTCAGGATTTTATAGATGGGCCATTAAATATAAAAAAGGGAAGTTAGACCATGGCTGATTATATGCACTCCTGGACAGCCCTCCTACGGGAAGGATAAGACAGCTATGGAAAGTGTAGGATGAAGATTCAATTACCAACTACAGAACTCACCACAGCATTCAGAACAATCCAAGTGGGTTAACTTATTTTTTCCAAACCCTGGGCGACAATGATCCACTCGGACTGTTTTCAGAGAATTTGCAATGTAATAGAAGGTGGGCATGTTATCCTTCATTTTGTCCAATGCAATCCTCTGCTTCTTGAAGAAAGCTTCAATACGATTTCGGGCCTGAAACAAAATCACACACAATCTGTATCATAACATCAGGATAGGTTTCCTCACAGAATGGCGAAGGAACAAAACAGAAATACAAAAAAACAGCAGGTTTAAGGAATTCTTAGTTTCCCTGGGCAGCCAAGTGTTGAATGTTTTTATGTGTGTAGTGTGACATTAAAACACATACTAATGTCACAACAGCAAACTATCAGAATTAGATTTCTTACTGGGATCTTCACCCTAAATTTCTAAATACATAAGTCATTTTAAACTTTAAATACTTATAATCTGCTTCTAGCATTGTCCCATTTTTGCCTTAATTTGTGTTTGTAAATTCTAATTTACTTTTTAATTAATCTATCTTTACAAATAATTATCCTCAGAAAACTTCAACCTGGTTATCTGCTTTCTTGATCTTTTTGGGTCCTGATGTCTCTTTTTGAGGAAAGATGAAATTCAATAGTGTTGAAAAAACTCAGTAGACCTGGCAGCATACGTAGAGAGAGAAACAGAATTAACCTTTTCAGTCTGAAATGACTTCTTCAGAACTGAAATGGATTGGAAAATTGTATTTTTCATGCAGTAGACAAAGGGAGGAGGAGGAGCAAATGGAACAAATTATAACAGTTGTCTACCTCTATCTATAGCATAGAAAACATCAATTTCCAGATCCTTTCAGTTATGAAGGAGAGTTGAAATGGATTTGAGGTATTAACTCTGTTTCTCTCTCCACAGATGCAGCCTGAGTTTCTCAAGTACTTTCTGTTTTTACATCAGATTTCTAGAATACACTGTACTTTATTTAAGTTTACTAAATTGGCTGAAATGTCTAATATGACTTTATGCTGGAAGATAATGGTCAATAACAGGCACAGCAGCAGCTTATATTAAAGTGACTCAACAAATTAAGTAATATTTTGAATTAAAACATGGGTCAGGGAGCTACATCATCAAGATTGTGCTGCTACAGATAGCAATCATATAACATGCTGTAGTTATTCTCTTTCTCCTTTCTCTATTTACCCTGACTGTTTCATAGTGCAGAGATCAATCCTGATGCTTATTGTCTAAATCTGGATGCTAGAAAGTACCTATGACGGGACAGTAGGGATATGGAAGGCCACCCTTTGTTGAGCAACCACCCCAAATCCCTAACCTATTATTCCAGAGCACAATGCACTGTAGTACTGAACAGAAAAGCCAAAAGAACTATGGATACCGGAATCAGAAACAAAAACAAAAACAGAAATCACTGAAAAGACTCAGCAGGTCTGGCAGCATCTGTGGAGAGAAATTAGAGTTAACATTTTGGGTCCAGTTACCCTTCTTCAGAAGCACTGTAATACTGCTGTAGGCAATTTTGAAATCAGCTCTAACATTTATTTTAAAACCATGTTCAGCTTGGTAGGTCTACATATAAGACACACCATTTAGAAAATTTTAGCACACCATTCTGCTTTGTCTGAAATGCTTTTGTCAGTACCATGATTGTCAGTAGATAAATACATCTTTCCAATTCAGGGCAAAATCAGTTCGCTGAAATCTGGAAAGTGAGCTTAAAGACTGTGTTTGTACACTGCCATTATACATATTCTACTTGAAACTTAGGGATAGGCTTTCACTATCAGATTGGTTCCATTTATGACAGTCATCATAGACTGGCTCTCAATGTTCCTTGACTTACCTTTTCGACTCTCCTGTTGGTTTCATCCTCACAGTCATGTATGAATTTTCTGCAAACTTCTTCCCAACCATAGCCGAAAGGATCCACTGTAGGTTTGAAAAGAAAATAACTTGTGTTCTAACCAATGCTGCAAGTTGAGCCTGGAACAGAGGTCCTCTACAAATTTTTCGATCAGTTATGGTTCAAGTGACTGCATGCAGTTTTGCGAAACAATGGAATTGAGAGGAGATTCTCATTACACTGGAATAACTTTCTGAAAATAACTGCATACATTACTGGGATACTGTCAACAAGGTACCACCACTGGTTGTTGAGCTTTTCACAGGCTATTCTAAGAGACCACATATTTTTCACTTTTTGGGTTTACAAACTGAAATGGAGTGGGACTGTGACCCTAGAATACAAGTTATACAATTTGAAAAACAAGTGTTCCATTTTGTTAAGTTTTACAATACAGTGTTGGTTCTTGAAAGCAAAAAGAGATCTTGAGACTGAACTTCAAGAAACTTCGAAGTTAAGGAAATGCTGCCTGGAAACAACTCTCTGATTGGCTGAGTTGCAGAGTATTTAAAAAAAGCTGGAAGTGCCCAGAGTAGCAGAGAGAGAGAAAAAAAAGAACATCCAGAAGCCGCATACTGCTTCTCTCTTTCTCTTTTAGGTGGGAAAAAGACAGCAAATTCCAGAAAGCCTAAAAGAAAGAATTCATACAAGACCTATGTTCACCTGGTCAACCAGCAAATTGAGAGACAATGATCACTATACAGACAACAGTGTCTCACCACTGCGCAAATCAAAAAGACTGCAAGAGGAAAAGGTCTTTCCACTGTATTCTCTGGATTGATCTTTGAAATTTTGCCTTCCACCCATAAAATCTGTGATCAACCCTGTCTTTTGTCTGCATTAATCATGACAGAGAGAAAAAGAGAGACAGACAGTGTGTGTTGGGGGGTTTTGAAGGAGTTCAAAGTTTTGGAAAAGATCTGTAGCTCGGGTTGTGGGTGAGTTTGTTGACTAGCTCGCCGAACTAGCTTGTTCTCGTTCAGATGTTTCGTCACCATGCTAGGTGACATCGTCAGTGGAGCCTCCAGTGAAGCGGTGGAATTCTACCCCACTTGGAATTTATACTGTTTGGTCCGTTATGGTGAGTAGTGTCATTTCCGGTTTTGATCTGTATGTGTTTGTATATGAGGTCCAATTCTATGTGTTTATTGATTGCATTACAGGTGGAGAACCATGCCTCTAGGAAGTCCCGTGTGTGTCTATGTTTGGCTTGGGCTACTATGGTTACCTTGTCCCATTTGAACTGATGGCCTTCATTGTCTGAGCGAACCGATATTAAGGAGAGTTCGTCGTGCCATTTTGCTGCTGGTTGATGTTCATATAT